TAATAATAATATAATAATATTAAACATTTTATATATAAACATTTTATTTTATAACAATATATTCAGTAAATTTTACAGCCATAAAAAGATTAATTATCTGAAATAGACATCATATGCGATACATATACACTGAAAAAAAAATTACGAAATTTGAATAAATATTTGTTTAAGTAATACTAATAGGACCATTTGTTTATAGAAAATAAATGTTTATTCGATTTAAAATAATGATACTTAAATTAAATGTATTTTTTTTAATTGAACAAATATTTATTTACTGTAAGTGTAATAGTTCCATTGGTACTATTTAAACAAATATTTATTCAAATCTCTGAATTTTTTTCAGTACACGTGTACATATACAGATATGGTGATCCTATTTTTATTTTAGAATTTGCCTTATATACAATATCATGTTAACTAAACGTTCAATTTTATAAAGTGTCATAAAACCGTCTACCTATGAAAAAAATATGTGCAAAAAAGAAAGATTCCGCCTCTTACCTTGGGGCGAAACCACTCTGGAACGAACCAAATCGACCTTGTTCCCGACCAGAATAGCCGGTCTACCACGAAGAAGATCTTGATCATGAAGTCGAGCGAGATATTCTTCAGCCCTTTGAAAGGACGCCTTGTCGATTACTGAATACATTACGACAAAGGCGTCTGGCAATGGCATTTTTTCCAATTCGATCTACACAAATCAAATTTATTTAATAAAATAAAAATTTTATTTATTTATGTATTTTGAAAAAATAGAATAAGTAAATAAAGATTTATTTAATATCACGCTTTATAGCATTATATAATAAGTAAATCAGCTATTCTCTCTTACTTTAAGATTAATGATGTTTAAGAATTTAAGCTCGCTTTCTTCACCATTCAGCATCACGAAAACGGATTGCTCACTTGGTACATCTGCAATGAGAATAAAAAATAAAAGATAAAGAATATCTTTTACAAAAAATTTTCAGATTCAACATTTTAAAACGAAGATAAAAACGTTAAATATATATCATATAGAGAAATATAGATATAATATGATATCGTTATAAAAAAATTCCTTTAAAATCGTAGATAAATTATAATTATAGTATATATATTTTCGACATTGTTATATTAAACGAATCATTATATCCTTTTTTAATAAATAATAGAAATTCTCTCCCTTAAT